TAAATTCTAACACACAAAAATGCTGCATTCAGCAACACAAACATCTTTGAAAGCTACATGTGGCAGCTGATTTCCCTCGAAATTGTCACAACTTTGAGTCCTGCAGGAAATGCACATCTCTACCTGGTGCTCATCTGTTCCAGTTCTCTACATGTAACGTTGATTACAGATCTTAGCAGAAAGAAAGCAAGCAAGCAAGCTCTGAGTTGTGCATCACTCTAATGGGTGCCCCTGCAGAAGAAGGCCTGCGTGTAAAACTTGCCCCAATGCCATCCATCCCTTACAGGCCAGAGCAGGAGGCAGGAGGCACAGAAGCACTGGTCAGCACAGCAGGTCAAAGCCCCCCATGTGGGAACCGCCCTTACATTGAAAAAAAAATGACTTTTGGCTGCAGGGTGAAATTTTTCCTTGCCTTAACACAATCTCTACCACAAAATGACTCTCCTGTTGCCTTAAGCCACAACTGCAGAGGGGTTTTGCTCACTCAGCCACATCTATTAGGGGTGACTGGAAGATGAGATTTGCAGGACCCCATGGAAAACGTTTCTGGCTAGTCCTGAGAGAAGTTTATTATGCACCAGATATTCCTACAGCCATTCCCAAGCATGATGAATAAAAGACAGCAAGTACATGCTGAGAAATTTTTTTTGGTTGTTATTATTTCCACAGCCAGTTTGGAAAGTGAGGTACCACCACAGCATCTTTTCTTTCCTTTCCTCTTCAAAACTGGTCATCAAGAAACCCTGACTTTTTGGCATACCCAAAGATGTTAGAGGCAACACTGGAGCATGGCATTGGAGATCACATATGAAAGGATCTCAATAAGAGAAGAAAAAGAAACTGAAAAAATGAACCCACAAATCCACATCTAATACACTTCAAACAGATTATAGCTGAACACTACAATCAACAGTTGGATTTGATGAATTCAGAGATTGCTTCCAAACTAAATTATTCTGTGATCCTATGAAATCTGGCATCTAACCATGCAAGTTAGAAAGAAAACATCTGACAGGAAAACTGAGGGCTTAAAGAGACGATGTCTAACCATGATGTCAATTAGCACCCAGCAGGCCCTTGAATTTGACCTGTTTGTATTGTTTGACCATCTTCTTCTAGGTGTGCAGCTCTCCTCACAACTACCTGATTAAGAATATGTTTTTTGGAGTCACTGTGTCTCTGGAGAAAGGTGCATTAAATATGCTAAGGCATCTTCATGACTCCATTCCGACAATTTTAGTAAGAATTCCCTCATCCTGCCACTAGATACACATAAGTTTTCATGTACACAAATTTTAGTACCTGCCTAGAACAAGAATTTCTTAACTTTGTCCTGACAATTTGTATGCATGAGTGGGGGTTGAACATTTTATTTCTACATTTCCGAGCAAAAGAAACTAAGAAATTATTGAGGAGTATAAACAAGCCCTGTGTCACTGTCATTTACCCTTACAGAAAGTCACACATGGTGATATTTATTTTCCACTGTCAAAAAACACTGGTAATGTCTTAATGCTTGGCAGCCGCAGTATCTAATCCCCTGCTGTGTTCCTTTCCCTTTGTCCTGCCAAAGCTGAAAATTTGGAAAACGAACATACTTTGAAACTGTTTTGGCTAAATGGTTTGTTGATGAGAGGGAAGGAATCTGTCTTTTATACTACACAGCACCAAAATTCTTCTTAGTTGCATGCTGTATACATTTATCTTCAGTTGTTATGCACTTGTACAAATAATTTTTTTACAAATTCTCATAAATGTTATAAGGAGTGGAAGCCCTTCTAGATATACTTTACCACACCTTGAGTAAAAAGCCGCTGTGCAGTTTTTCTGTGACTTATTTTTGTGTAGTAAGTGGAAGCACTCAGAGACTGTCACCATAAGCAGTGGATTTCTTTGCCTTAGAGGACAAGGGAAGGATGTCCTTAATATCAGATAGGGGAAAAAAGGCAAGAACTCCAAGGCTTGCACACTACCCTGCCTCACAGGCAAGATCAACAGTATCATCCTCACGTGTACTGCAAAGTACAATGTGATACAATACCCCAACTTGCTTAATAATAATGGAATAATGGAATTATTCTGCTAATAATTAATAGAAAAGAAGGGGGGGTTTCAGAGGGAGAGTGTTGTGGTCCACTGATATCACTGGAGATTCTAAACTGCATGGCAATCATTAAGACCCACACAGATGTGGGAAGTTCATGTAAAAGGGACACACATGCATAAGTGTGACTTTCCAGAGGACCACCACACAGGATGACAAGGAGAGACATAGTGTGCCCCTTTTCCTGTTCCCCAGAGAGCAGCTGTGTGGAAGTACAAGCTACCTCCAAGGACAGCTGAAATGGATACTTCACTGTCTGTAATATCATCAGTCAAGCCTCAAATAAAGTCTAGAAGAAGCAAGAAATGTGAGAAAATTGAGGGACTTGCTGAAAATTGAAAGATAAAGGAAGACTGCAGCCAAAGTAGAATGTCTCCTGATAAAATCTGGAGATGTAAATGGTAAGGTCAGTAACAATGCTCCACTGAAGGCCCAGACATGGCCAAACACTTTGGAAGGGTAACAGTTTCTCGCTTTATACCTTCATACTCTACACAGTTGAGTATAGATATACTCTACAGATGGAAGGACCAAGGCAAGGAAGAAGCAAGAAAAAAATTAAAAGATTTCCTAGTGGAGCTGTTTGATATGGCTCTTCTGGGAGGACTGCAATATGTTATCGTTTATGTGCCTCCATAACAATGAGCACAGTGTAATGCCGGCACTATAACTCCATGTGAGTACACTTTAAAATACTAAACCTAAGCAAAAGGACATATCAATATAATTCCAAACATTCTCCAACCTAAATAACACTACTACAGCATACTTTAAAGGAAATCTGAAAGCTTTTGTCAGTGAAAGGTAGGGTTCAACACAATGTTTTAACCAGCAAACCAGATGTAACAATAAAGGAAAGAAATACATTTTTGTCTCAGCAATAATATGCTTCAAAGGTGCAGTTATACTGGATACCTGCAGTTTGCTGGTATTAAAGAAGGGTGGCCTCTGACCCTCTGCTTCATAATTCACTGCAAGCAAGCAGGTATCCTGTGTAAGTGGCCATCATTTCACACGGTATTACTCACTTGCAAGTATAAATGACTACAGCTGGCCCTGCATCCCTGTCTGGACTTGGGTACCCAGCTAAGCAAGAGGGTGTGCTGGATGAGACAATACTCTTTTCCGGAGGGTCGGAGCTTTCCTAAGGATCACGGGCTCCCTCATACCTCAGTTAGCTCATCGACGCGGTCGTATGAACCTCCTTTTGCGAAATTAAGAGCAGTTTCTCACAGACCGCCTGACTTGAGGCAGCCGAAACACAGATGCGTTTTCCCCTGGGATGCCCTGTATTTATGTGCTTATTTATTCTAAATACTAGTCGCGGAGTGCGGGACCGAGC